AGATATAGGCAGACAAATTTGGTCAAAAAAATTTAAGAATTAACTATTCCTTTCAAAAAACCAATAGACATCAGCAGTACAATTATCCTAGCTATCCTTTTATATATATTTGTCCCTTCCTTCTTTCTTTCCTTTTCTCCTTTCCTTCATCCCAGTTGTTCCTTCCCTTTAAGCAGTTTCTTTGCCTTTCACAATATCTATTGTACATTTTGGGTTTTATTTACTCTTTCAGGTTCTTATGCTAGGAAGACAATATGGTGTTTACACATTTGGGTCTGATTTATTTCACTCAAGTATGGTCTCTAGCTGCATCCATTTACCTATAAAAGCCTCTAGCTTATTTTTTTTATAGCTGAGTAATACTCTATTGTATTAAAATACCACAACTTTTTTATCCATTCCTCAGTTGATGGGCATTTGAGTTGTTTCCAAGATTTAGCTATGACAAATTGTGCTGCTATAAACATGGGTGCATATATAGTGCTGTGGTATGATGTCTTTAATTCTTCTGGGAAAATACCAAGAAGGGGAGTAGGTGGGTTAAGTGGGACTCTAATCCTAGTTTCCTGAGGAATCTCCACATTTATTTCCACAGTGGTTTCACCAGTCTACACTCCCACCAGCAGTCGAGAAGGGGTCCTTTTCACCCATAGCCTCACCAGCGTTTGTTATTGGTTGATTTCTTAATGATAGTCATTCTTTCTGGTGTGAGATGGAATCTCAGGGTTGTTTTGATTTGCATTTCTCAAATGACCAATGATGTTGAACATTTTTTCATATATTTATTTGCCATTTGTATTTCTTCATCTGAGAAGTGTGCATTCATCTCAGATGCTCATTTTTAGATTGGGTCTTTGAATTTTGGGGGTCTGATTTTTTTTAATTCTTTATATGTCTTAGATAGAAGTCCTTTGTCTAAGGGGCAGTTGGCTAAAATTTTTTCCCAATTCGTGGGTTTTCTTTTTACTCTGTTGGTGATTTCTTCTGATGTGCAAAAACTTTTCAATAAGATGAGATCCCAGTTGTTGATTCTTTGAAGTATTTCCCGTGAAGTTCAGTTTTTGTTCATGAACTCTCTATGTCTTCACGATTTCTACCTACTTTCTTTTGTAGTAGATTTAGTATTTCTGTTTTAATATTTAGATATCTGATTCATTTTAACTTGAGTTTAGAGCATGGTGATACACTTGGGTCTAGTTTTAGTCTTTGGCATGTCTAACATTTAAATCTAATGAATCCATTTCTGATTTCTCTGAACCTCTTATTTTCCACTTTATTCACTTTTTATTTTCTACTAACTTGATATCAACAACATGGAGGTTAAAATTATTGCATTTGATTTTAAAATTTCCTGTGTATAGGATTAGAGCAAAGACCTAGTATCAAGTATGTGTAGGCCTAATAATTGGACTGATGTATTACTAACAGATTATTAAAAATTAAGTGGATGTATTTTCATGTGTACCTGGAGAGGATGACTTGAGCCTAGACTATGTATGTGTTAGAGGGAGGACAGAATCAAGATTTGTAATGAATTTACTTTGCTTCCTAGATTTCTGTATCCTTTACTATGGAAATCAGTAGTGCAGTGGTCATGGGAAAACAGAAAGACAATGGAGAGAAAATAAAGAGGAAATAGAGTAGTGCAGATGTACAGTATTGCTGAAACATGAATTTCAAGTGGGCAGAATTCACAGTTGCCTGGGATTAAACTGCTAAGTGCTTGTTAAAACAAACAAACAAACAAAAAACCCAAACTGCAAATGTCTAACATGTCACAATTCATTTGAATTGTACTTTGATCCTTATTGAATAAAAATGCTCTGAGGATAGATTCCATCAGACCATCTGTTACACTTTAATGAAAGTGCATTTATCAACAAGATTTGTCTCTAATTAGAAGAAAGGTTGAAGAAGGAATAAAAAGCTTTGAGACGGCAAGAAAGCACAATAAAGCCCAGGGATGGGGTCAGGAAAAGGATCAAAAGGATCAGGGAACAGAAGCAGAAGCCTAAAGGATACATTTCATCTACTGCAAATTTTTCCCAGAAACTAATGCTACCAAGATTTAAACCATGTGAGTTCCTGCTCAATTTCTGTTTAGATGCTGAGATCTCAGCTCACTTTCTAACACCCAGAATTTTCTGAAGACAGCAGTGACAATAGGATTCTCACAGAAAAATGGCTGATGGAACTCAGCTGGAAAAGGGCCTCCCCAAACATAAGAACCCATGAGGCGGCTAAGCTTTACCTATGGGCAAAGCTGTAAAGTGTCCTTTACATATGATTGTGCCCTCATCCCCCATAAAGCTAATCAGTGAGCTAAAACTTGATGCCCACAGAAGACAGAGCTAATGGCTAGCACTGGTGCACCTCCTTCTTTGATATGTCCTTGAATTAAATCCAGATGGTCATTGAAACAATTGAAATCTCTCAACTGAAAAGACTGGGACAGAAAGTACTTGCTAGAGCTTGTGACTCACACCCACCGTAGCTCACGGTATGAATCTCTGCTTCTCACAGCTCAGAATTAGTGACCCTGTAAAATAGCCTTACTTATAAATTATTCTTTATTTCTGTTTCCCAATATTAAGCCTTTCCTCCAGGAAAGCTAGTTTCTATACTAGCAAAGAAATAGAATTTTAGTAGAGTGATAGACATGAAAAGAACCTCAAAGATTACCTCAGTGAAGCTCCTCATCTTATAGATGAGCAAACCAATTATCAAAGAGGAGGTCTTGATGAAGTTCTTAGAACTAGAAGGCTCTCCTTCTCTTCCTTGTCTCTTACCTTGCCCATAGCTGAATGTGGGATAAGTAAATAATGAGTTCAGTTGCAAGAACTAAGAGAAAGGAGTTTGTGGTCTAGCTCGGAGTCCCAGTGCTCCCTCTGGAGGCACGCTGGACAAACAAGCTGCGAGTCTCACTCCTTCCCTGGGAAATCTTTATTCATTTCTTGCCATAGTCTCTAAAGAAAATGGTTTCTATCCAGTCAGGCTCATTTTGATCTCCTTCTCCCTTTCTTTTGAGGCACAGAAGGAGCTACTGAACAAAAACAGATGCAGTTTGAGTTGTGTATAACATCTTTAGAAAAGATCCTAACAGTTGATTCTAGTTGTTTTTATATTGGTCAGGAATCAGGGCTGGGATTAGGGTGAGGTTGGATGAGGCACTTGCTGCAGGCACAAAATATTAGAGGGTGCCTAAAACTCACTACTTAAGATAAATAATATTTAATGCATTATTTGAAAAATAAATTTAATCTGATATAACCCTTATGCACAAATATTACAATTTTAATTAACAAAATCTGACCTTTCACTAGTACAACTTTTTTTTTTTTGGTAGTGGGAAGCAAACTCAGGGCCTCACACTTGCCAGGCAGGCGCTGTGCCACTGAGCATTATCCCCAGCTCACTAGTACAACTCATAACCCTTCACCCTAATCCCCACTGGGACTGTTTGCATGTCTAAAATGTAAATATTTGATGTCAAGGATTTCTGTATTAATTTTGATTTTTTTAAAAAATTGAGTTAAAATATTATTTATCTAGATTACTGCAGGTTTTTTGTGTGCTCCCTCCTAAATTTTTTGCCTAAAGTTACGTTCTCAGTCACTTTGCCTTAATGCCAGACCTGCCTTGTATTTACCCTGGGCCCTCATCAAAGACTCAAAGACAAGGGGGAAAATATTGATGCATACACAGAATTTATGGTTTAATTCAGTACAGATTTTTATTGAAGCAGAATAAAATGATTCCAACTCAGCAGTACTGGAAGGACAAATTAACATTTTGCTTAAGGCCTTACCCGTGTCCCCAGGTAGAGCCTTCTGCAGGAATGACCAGCCCCAGGACAGCTCAAAGAGAACAGAAGGAGTCACAGAAGCAGAGGCTGTTCTCAAGTTACTCAACATATCCCTGGAAATTAACTGGCCCCAAGTTGTCACAAGTGATAAGAACATACCCCTCCACGGTGGAAACCTGGTACCTGCAGCCAGGATATACTGTGCCACCGATGAGCTGACAGACTGTCATTTTGAGCCTTATCTCACTCTGGAAGCAGAAAATGGTAGAATGGTTTAGGCAAGTCATCTTCCTGGGAGAAATGCAGATGCTATTGATTTTTTGGGGCCTCTCATGGATGAAGACATGCTTCTTTTTGCACGTGTGGTTGGGTTCTCTGATGACTCTTTGTAGGATCATGGAGTTGCAGTACCTTACAGGAATATTACTTTTCGGGTAATCCACATTCAAGTGCTCTATGGATGTCACCACTATATTCTCATCTGGCTCCCTTTCCCAGAAGAGAAGCAGCAAGAAAGTGACCACCATTAGTACCATCAGGGTTATGAGTTCCTTCACATCTATGGCTTTAACTCCTGTTAAGTGATGGAGATAAAAGGAGCACAGGGTAATCAGGTTCCTCCTGCTCTGACCCCTGGGGACACCCCCATCATTTTGTTTTCTTCTCTATTTAAAATCATGTCCACCCTGCAAGGTCTAACTGGAGGCACAGCTCCCCATTCCCCCTCAGGCCACTTCAGCTCTGAGTTTGGTACTAACTGTTCTGCCATAATTCCCTTGTCTCCACATGCTCCTTGGTAGCAAGTGCAGCATTTCCTGTTTCTCCCAAAGCTTGCAGAATGCTTAACACAGAGCTGAATATACTGAAAACTCCCCACGATGGAGTCTTTCATTCCTAGTGCTCAGTGACTTCCTTCCCCTCAATCTTCTCAACCTGAATTCCAGTCAATTCTACATGTTTTTGGTAATGTCTACTAATTTGCTCTTCCCAAGTCTTTCCTTCCTTGTAGACACTGCTTGATCCATGTGAGCTCCTCTTACCTGTTATTTTTGCTGCTGCTTTCACAGGTAACATCCTTTTCCTCTGAGAAAAGTCTCTTGCTGTCTCAGCGTTCCCCAGCGCTAACTGACAGGGAGCAACTTGGGTGTGGAGAGGGCAAGAGAGGAAAGAACAGAAAGGGAGGGACTGGGGAGCAACCTCCCAGGTGCACTGGGAAGGCAGAGGAGTTACCTTCAGAGCCTGAGGTGAGTGAGGCAGGTCTTGAACAGTTCCTCATTAAACAAGTAGGAACTTTCAAAACATTCAGTGAAGTGCTCATGTGTGCGAGTCACACTGTTGCCCATTTCCTAAATTTCCAATTAGTCCTTCCTGCACATCCGTGGGAAAACTATTCTTTTAATTTCACTGATAAACAAATGAGTTGCAGAAAAGTTGAAGTGACTATGGGAAATCACACAGGTCCCCTCGCATAGTACTGAACACTTGAATTCTCGTTTCAGCAAGTTTCATTTCCCCACGCTGTCTAGGACAGGGAAATTCTCTGGCATTAACATTAGCCTTGACAAAGTTCTAGGCTTCTGAAGAGCAGGGAAGTAGGTCCCAAACCCTGCTGAACGTTGGAAACATCTGGGAATGTTTTAGACATCCTGACTTCCATGCACTTAACGATGGCATGTGTGGGAGGCTGTCGTGGGACATTAGTGGACCAGGGCTTAGTAAAGACATCGTGGCACAAGGTCCTGAGCCAACAGAAATTTCATTTCTGTCATCTGTTAGTAAGTTGATACAGGAATGGAAAACTGACTTAATTTTATTAACTCTTGCTCTAAAATCCTCTCCCTCTCTCCATCTGTCTCTCTCCTCCCTCTCCTATGCTAGGGATCAAAGCTAGGGCCTAGCACATGCTAAGCAAACACTACCTTTCGAGACACAGCTAAAAAGTCTGATTAACACATACCTGTGTCTTTCTAATTGCCAGGAAGGCTATAATTGTTGGGTGGAAAATTATCTAGGAGGGACAGAACATTCTAGAAAAGACCTCAGAGAGTGCATCTCTTCCTATGCAACAAAAACATAATCCAGACCACAAAAATGAACAAGCAAGGGGTTATTATTTACTTCTTCAAAGCTTTCACTTTCAGGATTCAAACTGTCTTATTTTGCATATGTTGCAGTCAGGGTTTACAAGAGAAAAAATTTAATATAGGACACATAACTTATGGGATTATTGTATAAGATTCACCCAAAGAGTCAAATGCAAAAGAGTGCAGGAGATCTGTCCACACACTAGAGACCCAAAGAATCCAGCTGACAAATGTCTTGCATGAGTCCAGCTGAAGTCCTAGGGCCCAGGACAACGTCTCATGCAAGTCTATATCAAGGATCTGCACTGGGAAGGCCCAAAGGCCAGTGGTAGATGCTAGAAAGTATGCCCCAGTGGGATGAAGGGTCTGTGCCAGTGAGCTGAGAGATCCACACTGGAGCCAGGAAGTGACACTCAAGGTAAGGACTAGAGCTCCTGTGAAAAAAACTGCAGCCATCCTCAGTGACAGCAATGACCTGAGCTCCTCTGATGATGAGAAAAGCTGAGGTCATATCAGGAAAGCCAGTGTGACAAGCTTCTCCAGGAGAATCAGTAGCACTCCAATTCCAGTTCTCTTTTTATGCTGCTGCCAATAGTTCTCAGGAGGGCCTTCCACACCCAGCACCACGCTGGCTCAGTTCAGCTGGGTGTTACAAATGGACCATTGGTTAACCCACCACACATATGTGTTGCACAGTGCTCCAAAGATATAAGTGCATGGTTAATTTTTGCAAATTTTCTGATTAACAAAATTTGATTTGCATATCATGTTGCAGAAAATCTCCACTGACTAAGGGGAAGTATATGCATATAATGTAACCTGTTCATTATTCATTGTGAGGACTTACAAGTGGCTGAACTACAGATGCTGTATTGAGTCTAAAATCAGGGAGGCAAGCCCTACTACAAAAGGTATTCCAGCTGAGGCAACTGAGACCATCCCTGACATTTCAGAGTATCGCCCTCCAGAACCAGAGTTAAGACTAACTCCACCTCCAGCCTTTAGCCATCACCAGTCTACTCTTTTCTACTATAAGTTCTACCTTATTTTTTATTTATGTCACTATGCAGGTATTTATTTATTTATTTGGTTTTTTTGAGACAGGATCTGCTACATAGTACAGGCTGGCCTTGAACATGCTATGTTGCTCAGGCTGGCCTCAAACTGAAGGCATTCCTCCTGCCTCAGCCTCCCAACTGCTAGGCTACAGGCATGTGCCAACACACCCAGCACTCTACTTTTCTTAGATTCCACACATAAGTGAGGTCATTTGGTATTTGTCTTTGTGTCTATATAGCATGACGCCCTGCAACTTCATGCTCAAACCAATTTGTAAATTTGTTCCAGAACAACCTCTCTCTCCTTGAAAATGCATTTTTCTGAGTAATTCACATAAAATTGGAAAACAAGAAATTCCCAAATTGAAAAAATGGGAGCAGAAGGAGGCTGAGGAGTTTGACTGAGGAGAACTCATGATCTCACCAGCCTCAGCTGCTCCTTAAATGGGCACTTTCTGGATCCCATAGGATCAAAACAAACAAGCAGAGAATGGTGCAGAGTTTAAGTGAAATCTACTGGAGTCTTTTGGCTACTAATTATAAACACAGAAACCCAGTCCTTGACCCATACCTACTTACTCTCTGAAGGCAACCTCGGGAACCTGCCTTTGTAACCAGTATCCCAGCCCAGCCCAGCGTATCTATTTACCAACCACTGGATGAACCCCAACTGCTACACAACATCTTCATTTCTAAACAGTTGTACCCATCCACAACGAAACAAAACCCACAAGTATAGGGAACACTCAGTATCCCACCCTGGAACCTCTGCATCTGGATTACTGCTCTGGATTACTGCTCAGAATTACTCCGGATTACTGGATTACTGCTCAGAAAAAGCATCACATCCCAGGACCAAGACAGCTCACCAGAAAGCTCCTTGCATAGACATCAAAAAGTCTGCCTCCTGAACACCTCTGCAGGAGGGGTAGCCTATACTTCTCAAAGTCCTTAATTATCTGTGTTCTTTCAGGACTTTTGGAAAGCAGGGTCCAGAAGATGAGCTGGAGTGATGTGGGAATACAGTTTACCAAGAAGGTTCTGGACTCACGTGAAGGAGGGAAGTGAGACCTTCGTAGTGGGTTTGGAAGAAGGCTGAGGCAGGAGCTGGGAATACTCTGGACTTGGCAAAATGCAAAGCGCCCCCCCACTCTTTTTTTTGTACTAGGGATTGGACCCAGGCCTCTGCCCTGAGCTCCATCCCACCAGCTCTTTAAAAAACAATGCTTTTTTTTGAGTCAGTCTAATTCACTGAATTGCCCAGGCTAAACTCAAACTTGAGATCCTCCTGCTTCAGACTCCCACAGTGCTGCAATTACAGGCCTGCGCTACCGTGCTCCATGGTCTTCTCCATTTTCTTATCTCCTTTTCTGTTTTTCTATCATGCATAAGCCACCTTTGAGCACCTCACTTAAGACAAAGATGTTGGAAGCACTTCGGAGTCAGGACCTGATTTCCTTCCTCCCCATTCCTGTTTACTTAGGACCCTCCAAACATTTTCACCTGATGCTCTGATTAGAAAGCTAAGGAAGCCCTGCATTTCTTTGTTACTGTGGCATCAAGCCTCGATCTGCAACTCTACACTGCTTCACACCAACCCTAAAGCATCTAGTGAGGTTCACGTACCAAGAAGTGTTTCCATTACAACACAGCTCTCCCAGGAAGGCTTGTTCTACATTAGCCACTCTCTATAGCGTCCATAAGACATTCTGCTCCATGCTTCCTGTTTGTAACTGGCTAGTGGTGCCGGAAGCACAGCCTGGCCATCTCTCATGCATGCTGTGTGCATCTGAGGCCTGGAGCTGGGCACCTTCTTTCTCCAGTACAGGGTCTGGTACCTCTCAGATAACAAGGTATTTTGGAATGGAGAACTGTTTAGGTAAAAGATGTCAGACTGTGTCTTATTTCGGGTACTAATTGGCTGAGTGATCATGAGAAATCCTATCTCTTCTCAAAGTCTCAGTTTCTTCATCTCTAAAATGGGGGTGGTAGAAAAAATAAAGGAGGACTCTATTAGGTCCTACTCTGCTTTTACAAACTAAGGTACTGAACTGAATTTAAATGAAGTCCTTCGCTCCTCTCTTGAGGTGACAATTCTCCGGCTAGAAGTTCTATTTTCCTGCGCACTGAGGGGGTAGGGAGACATCTCTGCCTCCCATTCTGCAATACAGACGCACAGTGGGAAAAACAGGGAAAGGGATTCTGGGTACCAGATCCAGAAGTGAGGAGCTCTGATTGAGGAGTGTGGAGTATTCCTGCGAAATGACCCTGGGAATGGGAAACTGATCAAAGGAACACGGCTTTGGCTTAAGAACAATAACTCTTGGGGGAAAGGAGACCAGGTGCGTGTGTCCTGGAGGGGTCCATCAAGTACTCTGGCAACTGCAGGCCTGTTTTCTAGACAGCTTGTTAACTGGAGGATTCATGCAGAACCCTCACAAGCTGCTGGGCACTCATCTTGCTCCCCTCCCACTACCTCACTGTCCCCTTGTCCTGGGGAAGAGGACAGACAGAGCCTGACATGACCAAGAACAAGCTGCTCCTGATCTTGGACAGGACAAACTCTGAATCAGAGGCTGTTACTCTTGGCCGAGTCGTTATAGCTCCAGGCTATGCACACTGGAGGCGCTGTTCTTCCTTGAGGAGAAACCAAGCTATTTCTTGTTTTATAATTTCCCCGTGTCCCTCAAATGACTGCTCTCCTGATACAGCCCAAGAAAGACCAGTCTTCCTGACCGTGCCTTCCTAATAGCTACTTGCTAGGCCTGTTTAGGTTTTGTACTTCTAAGGCTGCTTTGATTACAGTGCCCTAGGCTGAGCACCACCCTCTGTGAGCGCTGATGAAAGGACCATTAACCAAGCCTTACCTTGGGCACCTCCCAGGACTCCCCATATCTCCGGGGCTCTCCGGCTCTGTGCTCTTCTCTGAACC